TTTTTTTTTTTACATTTTGAAAACGTTACACAATTTTGCATTGTTTTGTTCTCCACTGCTTTGTATCCCACGACGGTGTCCCGCCCTGCTTCTTCACCTCGGTTCTCTAAAGATCAAAGGTCAAGAGGAGGGTTTCCAGCCCTGGAGCCCGCGACAGGGTGGGCCCTTGCGGTTCACGCACGGAAACAGCGAGCGGGACACCCAGGGCCCAGGAAGGCTGGGGACAAAGCAGATCCTCCCAGCCCCCAACACCACCCCGGCGTAGGCGCAGACCCCGAGGGTCCCCGGGGCCGGGACCTCACCCCGCGGGCACCAGCCCGACTGGCAGAGCGCCGCCGAGACGTTTCCACAGGGACGCCCCCGCCCGAATGGCTCACTGGGATTGGCTCGTTTCCTGGTTCAGACCTGGACGGTGGCCAGAGGAGGACAAGAGGCTTTCACACCGAACGGCGGTGATGCGGGCGGCGGAGACGCAGCCGCGCTTCAACTAGCGGCCGGGCCCCGGGGACATGGCGGCGGCCTCTGCAGCGTCAGTGCTGCCCGCGGCGGCGAGACACCGGTGGCGGCACTGCCTGAGCCCGCTGCTGTTGCCAAGGTGACGGGGCGAAAAGCGGCGCGGAGCGGTGCGTGGGGGCGCGGCAGTGGCAGGTGCGGGGGAACGCGGCTCCAGCGGGAGGAGGGACGGCGGCCGCTAGCCGGGGGCTTCGGCTTCCGGTCCCGCGCCCGCAGGGCGTCGTCCCGCCGCCGGGCCCCTGCCTTCCCCGCCCCGCGAGCTGCAGAATGCTTTGCTCGGTTCCCTTTTTCTACAGAAAGGAAGCGCTTTCCCTTCTCCCCCGTGTATTCATTTGTTTACTTCTGGTTCCCGTGTCTTTTTAACATGTCCCCGTCGTTCGCTGTTTAAGGGCAAAGGATGCTCCAAGCTCATCGTGTGCTTTGCTCCTGCCTTGGAATCAGACATTTCTCCAGATCCGTGTTCCTTTTTTGGAGAATGCTATTTTACAGCCGGTATCTGGGCTGTGTAGTTGTTGGTTGCTGCTAGGATGCCATTGCTTCTAGACTGTCTCAGCAGACAACGCTAGCAATTTATACACACACGCGTGTTCATGTATGTATGCATATATGCATGTGTAGTCATATATGTACACAGGCACACACCCCCACACTTCCATACGCACTTCAGTCCAGGCTCATCTATATGTTTTATCTCTATCTATGTACTTACCTACCTACCTACACGTATGTTTAAAAAAACAGCTGAGTTCTTACTGTTACCTCAGTTCCAAAGCAGCATCTCAGGGTTCAATCAGATCTGCCCTTTCTGTAATTTTAACTGTGTTTTCTGAGAGTAGAAAGCTGGCTCTCATTATCCACAAGATATTCACTTATTTGCCCAATCGTATACAAAAAGTAGTTTCAAAATCGCTAACCTGTAGTACTTTGAAAAACAGACCAACTAGCCGGAATTCCATATTGGTTTACAGTTATTTTTGTCTTTAGCTTCTGTAACTAAAACTGTATTATGCAGGTTCTAAAGGCAGTCATAGAGGTTTTAGGACGATAGAGGCTACAAAATCTCTATAAGATGTGGAACTAGTGTGTAAATATATAAAAAGACAAGTAGAATGGCATAGAAAATCCAGAAATAACCCCAACTGCCCATGGAAAGTTAAAGATAAAGGTGGTATCATATAACAATGGGGCAGAGTTGGGCTTTGTAATACACAGAGCTGGGCCAAAACTGGTTGGCTGTTTGGAAAAAGATAAAATTAGATCTACACCTCATAGCATAACAAAAAGTCTAAATGGATCAGGGATCTAAATGTGGAAAATGAAACAATACAAATACTAAAAGAAAACGGCCTTCTAACTATGACTCAAAAACCCATAGGCAATAAAATAAAAAACATAAATGGCGGATGAATACATCATAAAGTCAAAAGACAACTAAAAAAAAACTGAATTGGGAAAAAATATCTGTAGCACGCACATATCACAGGTAAAGAATGAAGATCTTTCATATTTAAGTTTGAATTTTAAAACTTTTCTAAATCAGTTTTCTCTATTTACATTCAGCAACGACAAAGTGACTTTATCTTTTACATCAGAATATGTCAAAAAAAAAATAGTGAGTTATACTGCTTTTAAAGATAAGAGCCATCCGCTTAAAAATACTTTTTATAGGCAAGGCATGGTGGCTCAGGCCTGTAATCCCAGCACTTTGGGAGGGCGAGGGGGCAGGGATCACGAGGTCAGGAGTTCGAGACTAGCCTGGCCAACATAGCGAAACCCTGTCTCTACTAAAAATAAAGAAATTAGCTGGTTGTGGTGGTGCACGCCTGTAATCCCAGCTGCTTGGGAGGCTGAGGCAGAAGAATCACTTGAACTCAGGAGGCAGAGTGTTTGCAGCGAGCCCAGATTGCACCATTGCACTCCAGCCTGGGCGACAGCGTAAGATTCTGTCTCATCAACAACAAAAAAACCAAAAAACTTATTATATCATGTGTCTTAGAAGCCCAGAAGTAAATCCTAAGACAGGAATTCCTGTGAAAATAATTAGAAAGTTTCCAGGAAAAAATCACAAGGGAGTAGGGAAATAGAATAGAAAGGGAAGGAAAGCCACTGAGCAAGCTGCTCTAGGCCTGTTCCCCTGGAGGTGGCTCTATGCTGCTGAACTCTGAAGTCAGTGTACGTTGTCAGTCCTTGGAGTTGTCCTTACAAGAGAACCAGCAAGCTGGTGTGTTTACATCTCTACCAAGTCATTGGTTAAGGTCTGCCCTCAGGGGACCTAACTTCCCAGATACCTCAGGTTTTATAAAAATATGTAACTTTATACTTACGGCTTAGTATAAAGTAGTCCATTCAGAACATTCTTTTTAACTATTGTCCCTGCACACAGGGAGTTTTTGTTTCAAATTAAATGGAAACTAGGCTTGCAGATACAGGTATATAGGGGCCATATCTCAACAGATTGACACACTGAAGCTTGCTTTCTGGGTAGACTAGGATCCATGCCTTTTGTGTTCACCGTTGTCAAATTTAAATGCAGTGTCCAACATGAAAACCGCAGTGACATGTTATTAGTTGGGAATCTTTGTCGTTTGTGATATCTGCATGCTGTCTGTTTTCAAAGCTCACTGCTATATTAGCTATGAAGTAGAAGCTTGTTTTAACAAAGTGGTAGGCTTCATTAAGATCAAGGCTGTATAACTCATAGTCTCCTACTAGAAAGAGACTTGTCTTTAAAGTGAATGAAAACCAGTGAGTATGTATCAGAAGAACTTGCCCTGGAGATGTAAATGTGGAGCATATTCACTGTTTGTACATCTTAAACACAGAAGAGTAATGTAGAAAATGTCTATTTTGATTTTTCCTAAGATTTTTTTAGCGGGTCATATTTAGGGTAGAGGAGGGAAAATAGTCTAAAGAAGCAAGTTGCTACACATGAATATCTAAGGGGATACTAAGACTTTTTAAAAATAGACTTTGTTTTATTTTTAAAACAGATTTAGGTTTCCAGAAAAAAGTTACAGGTTTACAGAGAAGATAGTGCAAGAGTCCTCATATACCTGATAGTCCTGTCTTTAGTATTTTATGTTAGTATGGTAAATCTGTGGTGTAACTATATTATGGTTAGTATGATACTTTTTTTTTTTTTTTGAGACAGAGTTTTTTTCTGTCACCCAGGCTAGACTGCAGTGGCGCAATCTCAGCTCACTGCAACCTCTGCCTCCTGGGTTCAAGTGATTCCCCTGCCTCAGCCTCCCAAGCAGCTGGGACTACAGGCACGTGCCACCATGCCCAGCTAAGTTTTGTATTTTTAGTAGAGATGGGGTTTCACCATATTAGCCAGGCTGGTCTCAAACTCCTGACCTCGTGATCCACCCACCTCAGCCTCCCAGAGTGCTGGGATTATAGGTGTGAGCCACCGGGCCTGGCCAGTGTGGCACAATTAATGAAGCAACATTGATGTGTAATTATGAACTAAGGTCCACAACCTATTCAGGTTTTCTTCATTTTTATGTAAGGTATTTTTTCTGTTCCAGAATCTTACCCAGGATACCGCATTCGTTACACTTTGGTGTCATGTGTCTTTAGACTCCTCTAGGCTGTGACAGTCTCAGAATTTTCTTATTTTTGAGGACCTTGACAGCTAGTGAGGTATTTTGTAGGATATCCTTCTGTTAGAATTGACTGACATTTTCCTCTGGATTAGACTTGGATTTGGGACTTTTATGTCTGAGGAAGACCACAGATATAAAGTGTGATTCTCATCACATCAAATTGAGAGTGAAGACTGTTGGTGGTGACCTTGATTACGTGGCTGAGGTGGTATTTGAAAGGGTTCTATGCTGAAAAGTTAACTCTTCTACCCTCCTTCTACACTGTACTAATTGGAAGGAAGTCATGATGTCCTCACAGTTAAGTGAAACATTTTTTTCTAACTTTTCAAATGGATCAGTTTGTTTTGGATGAAGCAGATAAAAATGTTGAACCAACGAACTAAGGATCAAATCCATGAGATTTACTAGAAATTAAATACAAGTACTCAGGTGCGCACATGATTTTTCTCCAGCTGGCAGGTTGGGTTAATTGTTACGATATAGCTGTGAAGTGCTATATGGTCCTTTCCCCCTGCTCAAAGCAATTGTTTCCCACAATCCCTGTCTCACTCAGTTCTATAGTAAGACATGGACGCTTGGTCTCAAACATTATTTCTCTAAGTATTGTTATGAAACTATTACAGCTGCCTAGTTGATTTGTCAGCATAATTAGTCATTGTCTTTTTTTTTTTTTTTTTCAGAGTCTCACTTCATCACCCAGGCTGGAGTGAAGTGGTGCTATTTGACATCACTGCAGACTCCGCCTCTCGGGTTCAATCTCCGCCCCCAGTCTCCTGCCACAGCCTCCTGACTAGTAGCTGGGAGTACAGGCATGAGCCACCATGCCCAGCTAATTTTTGTATTTTCGACAGAGACCCGTTTTCACCTTGTTGGCCACTTTGGCTGGTCTCAAACTCCTGATCTCAAGTGATCCGTCCGCCTTGACCTTCCAAAATGCTGGGATTATAGGCGTGAGCCACTGCGCCCGGCCAGTCATGGTCTCCTTTAAAGATTGTGTTGCTTTCTGCCTCAATATTCATCAATATGTTGGAAGTTACCAAGAAGTTCCTGACAGATGTATTTCAAATTCTGGTGAAGAAAGAAGAATTGGCCCTTGATAGGATCAATGTTTTACAATAATTTTGAAAGGTGGTAACGTTTTTCTAATTGATATACGTAAAAGCTGTAGCCAGGGATTTCAAATTTACCTTCTTGTTTAAGCTCTGTTCTAAAATTGCAAAACTAGTATCATTTCTTGGCATTTGTAATAAAGCTATGAGAGAAAACACAAGAAGAAAGAACAACTCAACAACTGTACCAGATAGGAGAAAAACTGAGTTGAACCTCTTTTTTGTTTGATTTTATTTTTGTTTTGAGACGGAGTCTCACTCTGTCACCCAGGCTGGAGTTCAGTGGCGTGATCTTGGCTCACTTCAGTCTCTGACTCCCGGGTTCAAACGATTCTCCTGCCTTAGCCTTCCAAGTAGCTGGGATCACAGGTGCCACCACCACACCTGGCTAATTTTTTGTATTTTTAGTAGAGACGGGGTTTCACCATGTTGCCCAGCCTGGTCTCGAACTGCTGACCTCAGGTGATCCGCCTGTCTCAGCCTCCCAAAGTGCTGGGATTACAGGCGTGAGCCACCGCGCCCAGCGTGAGTTGAACCTCTTTTTTAACAACAGAGTAATTTGTTCTAAGATTTGGTCCAGTAATATCTATATTTAGGCAGAATTAGTAAAATCAATGAATAGTCTTTTCCAACGGTAGGGATGAGGCATGTATAGACATCAAATGGCTTTTTATTCCAACTTTAACATGAATTAACATTTTCCTCTTGTAAATGCTATAAGGAAGGAAATTGTATGCGCTTTTAACAGATGAGGAGGAGGGTGAGTCAGGTTGTTCCTTGCAGAACACAGAGTGAAAGATATCCCGGCCTCTGAGAAAAAGCATGTCTGTTTCTGGTGTGATAAGAGCTGTTCTTCCCTAGTATTGCTAATTAAGATGCTATTAATATCTGATTATAGTTGAGCCTTAAACAACATGACTGGGGCACCAACCCCCATACAGTCAAAAATCTGCAGATAATTTTTGACTCCCCAAAACCTTAACTACCAACAATGTTGGCCAAAAGCCCTACTAATAACAGTCGATTAAGCACGTGTTTTGTATGTTATGTGTGTGATACACTGTATTCTTATAATAAAGTAAGCTAGAGAGAAGAAAATGTTATTAAGAAAATGGTAAGGAAGAGAAAATATATTTACTGTTCGTTAGGTGGGAGTGGATCATCATAAAGGGCTTCATCTTCTTCATGTTCATGTCAAGTAGGCTAAAGAGGAGGAGGGCGAGGAGGGGTTTTTTTTGCTGTCTAAAGGGTGGCAGAGGCAGAAGGGAATCCACTTACAAGTGGTCCTGCCCAGTTCAGACCTGTTGCCTTCAAGGGTGCACTGTGTTTTCTTAGTAAACTGAGGCAGGATCTAGTTACATTGTAGCTGTGGAGTGCTGCATTGTCTTTGCCCCCTGCTCAAAATAAAACTGTTACCTTTCAAGCCCTGTCTGCCATGGTGCCCTAGCAGCAGGGATGTTTGGTCTCAGACATGTTTACCAGTTTAAGTACTGACTTTGACAAATGACTCTTGAGAATTAGGGGTTGGTGATGTTTTGCAGGTAGTGACAGAAGGAAGAATACATTATGGAGGGTATTCGGATAAAGGACAAACCCCTGACTGCTACTGACTTATTGGTGAGTATTCTAATTCTTTATTTAATTACAGTATCTATCTAGCAAAAGTTGGTTTAGGGGAAAAGTTTATAGTAGACTTTGCCAGTTAAGTTGTAGGGGGATAAAGATCCACAGTGAACTATGCCATTATATATAGTTCATTACTCTGTTTGCTTTTGAGACTGAGTCTCACTCTGTTACCAAGCTGGAGTGCAGTGGCGCGATTTCGGCTCACTGCAACCTCTGCCTCCCGGGTTCAAGCGATTCTCCTGCCTCAGCCTCCCGAGTAGCTGGGACTACAGGTGCATGCCACCAAGCCTGGCCAATTTTTGTATTTTTAATAGAGACAGGGTTTCACTATATTGGTCAGAATGGTCTCACTCTCTTGACCTCATGATCCGCCCATCTCGGCTTCTGAAAATGCTAGGATTACAGGAGTGAGCCACTGTGCCTGGCCTAGTTCATTACTCTTTTGGGGCCTAGAAGAGTGTACAGGAGTTGCTTTTTGAAACATAATTTCAATATGTACTATCACATCTGATTTTTATGTTTAGTAGTGTCTATAGTGATCATCAGCTGTGATCTGCCCACTACTTGTGAAAACCGTGTGTTTGATTATTTGTCATCTTTGAATTCCTTGCTTTTATTCCGGTGAAATAAATTCATAGATGTTATGTGTCACTAAACAACTGGGGTGTGTTCTGAGAGATCAGAGTGACTTATACAAACGTAGATGGTGTAGCCTACTGCACACCTAGGCTATGTGCTGTAGCCCGTTGCTCCTCTGTACTGAATACTATAGGCGGTTGTAGCACGATGGTATCTGTATATCTGAACGTAGAAAAGGTAGAGTAAAGATATGGTATCAATGATAAAAGCAGCACCCTTGTATAGGGCACTTACAGTGGAGAAACTTGTAGGACTGGAAGTTGCTCTGTGTGAGTCAGTGAGTGAGCGGTGGGCGAATGTGAAGGCCTAGGACATTGCTATATGCTACAGTAGACTTTATAAACACTCTCCACACAGGCTACACTGCATTTATTTTTAAGACAAAGTAATTGCTGGGTGTGGTGGCTCACGCCTGACGCCTGTAATCCCAGCACTTTGGGAGGCTGAGGCAGGTGGATCATCTAAGGTCGGGAGTTCGAGACTAGCCTGACCAACATGAAGAAACCCCGTCTCTACTAAAAATACAAAATTAGCTGGGCATGGTGGCACACACCTGTAATCTCAGCTACTCGGGAGCCTGAGGGAGGAGAATTACGTGAACCGGGAGATGGAGGCTGCAGTGAGTTGAGATAGTACCATTGCCCTCCAGCCTGGGCAACAAGAGCGAAACTCTGTCTCAAAACAAAACAAAAAACAAAACTACAGCAGCCTTTATAAACACTCTGCATGTAGGCTACACTACATTTATTTTTAACAATAAAGTAATTGCTGGATGCGGTGGCTTACGCCTGTAATCCCAGCACTTTGGGAGGCTGAGGTAGGTGGATCACTTGAGATCAGGAGTTCGAGACCAGCATGACCAACGTGGAGAAACCTTGTCTCTACTAAAAATACAAAATTAGCCCGGCCTGGTGGCACATGCCTATAATCCTAGCTACTTGGGAGGCTAAGGCAGAAGAATCACTTGAACCCAGGAGGCAGAGGTTGTGGTGAGCCAAGATCGCACCATTGCACTCCAGCCTGGGCAACAAGAGTGAAACTCCGTCTCAAATAAATGAGTAAATAAATATAAAAATAAAGTAATTATGCTATAACTTTACAATGGCTATGAAGTCATTAGGCGACAGGAATTTCTCAGCGCCAGTATCCAGTATAAACTTATGAGACCACCACTGGAAATGCAATTTGTAGTTGACCAAAATGTCATTATCCGGTACATGACTGTATTGTTTCTCAAGGTTTTGTCAGCCAGGCAGATGAATCGGGAGAATAATTTTGTCACATTGTAACATGATATTTAAGCTGTACTTGGGAGGACTCATAGTCAGAACACAGTGGGAAAGCAAATGTGAAATGTAGCTCGGATTCTAGACTTTATATGACGTTGATGTTTCAGAGAAAAAATCAATCATCCTATTAGATTTGGTTGTCTTTAACTTACCTATCAGTCTTTCTTAGAGTCATGTTTGCTCATGGCTTGTGCTTATAACTGGAATATTCTTAGCATTTTCTGGTTGCAGTTTATAGTGACCCTAGCCTAGTTATTTTTGGCTTTACCACTAGTAAATTGAACTATGCCTTGTTACCAATGTAAAAATGACTTAGTTTAAAAAAAAAAAATGCAGTAGTTCATAGAAGTAGATGACAAGGTTGTGGTCTGAAATGGCATGGGCCTGATTTTCAGACATAGATGTATAAGCAAAACAGCAGGTTGTTTGGGTAAAGAAGGAGTCTTTCCATATTTGTTTTTCTCTTGTTCTGATTATTTGATATTTTAAGTCCCTAATGCAAGAATATTTTTGATTGGTTGTGTGATCCATTTTAGTAGAGAACTATAGTGACAAACATATTTTCGTTACTTGTGTTAGAGTCTGTGGGATGAACTGAGCAGAGAGGGGTGTTAAATATGGGTTACCACAATACATTTTTCCAGATTTCCCTCTACTGGTAAAAGTTTCAAGTCCTAGACCAAGGCTACCCAATAGAACTTTCTGTGATGATGGAAATCTTCTATATTTATAGTGTCTAATACAGGAGTGACAGATAAGATGTGAATATCGAAATGCAGTTAATGCAACTGAGGAACCAAGTTTTCTATTTAATTTAATTTAATTTTTTTTTTTTTTTTTTTTTGAGATGGAGTTTTGCTCTTGTTGTCCAGGCTGGAGTGCAGTGGTGCGATCTTGGCTCACTACAACCTCTGCCTCCTGGGTTGAAGTGATTCTCCTGCGTCAGCCTCCCTAGTAGCTGGGGTTACAGGCGCCTGCCACCACTCCCAGCTAATTTTTTTATTTTTAGTAGAGACGGGGTTTCCACCATGTTGGCGAGGCTGTTCTCGAACTCCTGACCTCAAGTGATCCACCCACCTCGGCTTCCCTAATTGCTGGGATTACAGGAGTGAGCCACCGCACTCAGCCGATTTCATTTAATTTTAATTAATTTAAATTTAAATAGCCGTATGTGACTAGTGACTATTTATTGGACAGCAGAGTCCTAAACAACAGTGTACATTTCAGAGCTTACATCTGTAGTTAATTCTGAAAGTATATTAAAATGGATTCATAACTGTGCCTTTTGTTTTGTGCCTGGTGTTTACATCTGCCCCAGACTGACATGATACCCACTCTTGGCTGGCCTACTTTCATAGGGGCTTTAATTTTACTACCCAAAACCCAATATTTTCATCTGCTTTATAAGTAATAATGTTCATTTTGTAGCCAGATGAGCCTTAACTCCTATTGTACTGACTGCAAAAGAAATCTTTTCATTTTCTCTGGATATTTTGATCAGCATCTTGTATGCCATTTAGAAGCACTCTACATATAATTTTGGCAAATAAACAGCCACTGATGATTAACCAACTGGTAGCTCAGATTGTTCAGTAGTTCATGTAGTACTTGCTAAATAATATTCTGATTAATACTTTTTCTTTTGTTCAGAACTGGTAGTCAGGTCAACTTGGGAAGACAGTTGTGACCATAAATGTTAAGACGAAAGGATTCTTTATGACACTGAGACTTTCTGCAGTGGAGGAAACGACAGTGTACATAGCTGACATTCAGTTCCTGGGAGGAGGTAGCTCGGGGTGCAGTGCTCGCCGATGCTGAATAGGCAATCACAACGTGCACTACGTTTCTTTCTTTGAGAATATTTGAATCTTGTCTGAATACTCATAACAGATCAGAGTTGTAGGTGTTGATGGCAGAGATTTATGCCATCATTAGTCATGAGCTCTGTGAGGAAAGCAAGAGGTAAAAAGCTCTTGTTTTTATCCCCTTTAGAGTTAGACCCTGCGGTTGTGACATTTAATAGTGGCAAATACTAGTACTGATTAAACAAATAATATGTGTGAGAAAAATATAATACTATTTTATAATGTTTGTATTCTCTGATATAGCAACTTATTTTAATTATCTTTGTTGCTAGAGTGCAGTGGCGCAATCTTGGCTCACTGCAATCTCCACCTCCCGGGTTCAAGCGATTCTTCTGCCTCAGCCTGCTGAATAGCTGGGACTATAGGTGGGCGCCACCATGTCCGGCTAATTTTTGTATTTTTAGTAGAGATGGGGTTTTAGCATGTTAGCCAGGCTGGTCTTGAACTCCTGACCTCAGGTGATTCGCCCACCTTGGCCTCCCAAAGTGCTGGGATTACAGCCGTGAGCCACCATGCCAGCCCTAATCTGTTCTTAAAATAAACACTTTTTAAAAACAGAACATGAATACAATTGGACCACGCAGTTTATGGCCTATATTTAATTAAAAATAGCATGGTTTTCTTTGGCCCATAATACAGTAGAATACTTTTTCTGTTTCCTTTTCCAATAATATTCTCTAACTACCTGCAGCCAGTTTAGGGCATCTGTCTTGTCTTTTATAGAGTAAAAAAACGGAATCATTCTCGTGTAAAAATTCACTTTGCCTGCAGCGCTGCTGTTACATAACCCCTGTTATACTGATTCCTGGTGCCAGTCCATGAGGACTTCAAGCTCAGTATCCTCTCAACAGAAGTGTTTGAGTGTGGAGTACTTGGGATTTACTTAGCAGCAAGAGCAGGTTTTTAGACCTGCAGGAATTTGTTCCCAGCCCTCCAAGGGTGCCCACCCACCTCGTAGCTGCAGGCTTGTTCCGGCTGATGAGCTGTTGTTCAGTCGGGTCCGTTGCTTCTGTTAGTATGTGACTGGCAGCAATGATAGCCGTCTTATAGGCACAGTCTAAGGAAGCCATCTCCTTCCATTTCTATAATGTCAAAATTTCATTCAGTGCTTCTGCACATTTTGAGAACACTGAAAAATGACCAGAACTTTCATTGTGAAACCCTCAGTATCACGGTAAGCAGATCACAACCCTTTTTA